TCCCCCAAGGATTCCTGGACTGCGAGAGGGTGCAGGCCAGGCTGAGGCACCCCCCCCCCAAGTGCACGAGTTTCATAAAAGTCTAATATGCTAAGTGTCCCTCCGTCTGACTGGTCGCTATGATGCGCACTGACCACCTGGGGGCAGACGCTCAACTCAGGAGCTGCTAAGCTGCAGTTCTCAGGTGATGCACCCCAAAACCAGAGAGGAGGGAGCCCAATTCCTCGTGGGGCTGCACAATTCCACCATCGGCCGTGTGTTATGTTGTTACTGAGTCACTGTCAGCCCCGAATTTGGTTTATTGCACATTTGCGTTTGCATTCCACACCCTGTACAGCAGCAACTCTGCAGAGTGCCCTCTTACACTCCAGGACCCCTTGTGGGATGTTGGAAAGCTGGTTTTGGCCCGATCCCCACATACCAGGCCAAGGGACCCCACCTGCTGGAGGGACCTGGCTCACTCCGCAGACGCCTTTCGAGCCACGGTGCCACCCCAGAGGCCAGGGAGGGATCGCAGAAGGTTGGTTCCAGGGTGTGTCCAGCCTGTCTCACCTAGTCCTGCCCCACCGGCCACTTTCTAATTAATTTCCTTTCAGTGTGCATGAATCTGTGCACTGGGTCACTAGCTAAATATAATGCCATAGCACAATCTTAAAGGCCAGTTTGCAGTTTCAGAGCAATGCATTGAACTATATAGTTTCTGACTGGCTTAATCCATGGGTGAAATTTAAAGTATTTGAAAGATTCTATGGACTGCAAGTTAGCTCCTCATAAATATTTCTCAAAATTAGCTTTGGGGAAAAGTTGGGCAGCAGGTAGTTTGAAGCTGACCTAAAGACATGGAAGGCATGTACTCTATACTACTCGTTAAAGGTAGATTCATATACTTTAACAGTTAATCCAGAAAAAGATGTGATTGCCCTGGCCAGTTTTGCTCTGTGGTTAGAGTGTCGGCCCATGGACTGAAGGGTCATAGGTTCGATTCCTGGTCAAGGGCAGGTACCTTGTTTGCAGGCTTGATCCTTGCCCCAGTTTGGGCACTTGTGGGAGGCAACCAATGGATATGTCTTACATCGATGTTTCTCTCTCTCTCTTTCTCTTTCCACCCCTTCTTTCCTCCCCTCCACTCTCTCTAAAAAAAAAAAATCAATTGAAAAAATATCCTCAGGTGAGGATTTAAAAAAAAATAAAAGTGAGAAAGCCTAACTAAAAGTCTCACCCAAATAGAACATGCTATCCTGTTTTCATACAGAGAAAGGGAGAGAAAGAATATTTGTAATCAAGGCCAGGTTAGTGCAAATACATGAAAGAATAGTTTACACCTGATAAGTTAGGTTTTAGGTAAAAAAAATATGGAGAGAGAAGGATATATCTGGAATCAAAAAATAATGTAAAGAGATATATCTACACTAATAAAAGACAAAGATGCAAATTGACTGTACCTATGTGATGCCCACCAGCCAATTAGGTGTGAGTATGCAAATCAACCCAGCAAAGATGGCGGGTTAATTTGCATATGCAGGCACCGAGCGGGGTGGGGCGCTTGCGTCGTTGCCATGGCTATGACGCAGGCGTTCTGCACCACCCCAGCCGCGCTGGGCCTCTGGCAGCATGGGAAGGCAGAAAGGTGGCTCTGGGCCGGAGCGAAGGCAGTGCTGGCAGCCAGGGGAAGGAAGGCCCATTCTTGCACAAATCTTTGTGCATCAGGCTTCTAGTCTATATAATAAAAGCCTAAGTCACCATTATGGCAGAACGATCAGGACAACCAGTCGCTATGATGTGCACTGATCACCAGGGGGCACATGCTCAACGCAGGAGCTGCCCCCTGGTGGTCAGTGTGTTCCCACAGGGGGAGCGCTGCTCAGCCAGAAGCTGGGCTCATGGCTGGTGAGTGTAGCAGCAGTGGCAGGAGCCTCTCCCGCCTCCGTGGCAGCACTAAGGAGCAGAAAGCTGAGTAATAAGGAACAGTGAGCAGGCAGGTGGTAAGGAGCAAGGGGTCCCAGACAGCAAGAGGGATGTCTGCCGAGGGGTCCCTGACTGACAGAGGGCGCAGGCCAGGCTGAGGGGACCCCCCCACCCCCAGTGCACGAATTTTGTGCACTGGGCCTCTAGTAGAAATATAATGAACCTAAATATACTCATCACTCATATTAAAGTTACCAAGTATTTACCACACTAGAATCATTTTTGTCTTTTGTATCACATTCCAGGTCTTAGTTCACTTTATTCCTATGTACTTCAGCAGGCATTTCTATTACCACGTCATCAAAATTAACATTTTTAATATTATCTAATAGCTTAGTCCATATATTGATTTCTCTCATTGTCTCAGTAATGCCTTTTTAATATTGACTTGTTTGATTCAGGATCCCAGTGGGTCCACATATTGAACTTGGTTTTTTGTTTCTTAATCTTCTACAATTTAAAATATTTGAGCAAAACTCTTCCCCCAGTCTCTTTTTAGTTTTTCCTGACATTGATCTGTTGAAGAAATCAAGTAGTTTTTTTAAAAATAGTATTTCACATTCTGGGTTTTTCTGCTCTTTCATGGTGTAATTTAGCCTTTAATATAGTTCTTCATGTTGTGGTGACCCCCAACCATAAAATTATTTCCGTTGCTGCTTCATAACTGTAATTTTGCTACTGTTATGAATTATAATCTAAATATCTGATATGCAGTATGTATTTTCTTTTTTTAAAAATATATTTTATTGATTTTTTACAGAGAGGAAGGGAGAGAGATAGAGAGTTAGAAACATAGATGAGAGAGAAACATCGATCAGCTGCCTCCTGCACATCTCCCACTGGGGATGTGCCTGCAACTAAGGTACATGCCCTTGACCAGAATCGAACCCGGGACCCTTCAGTCTACAGGCCAATGCTCTATCCACTGAGCCAAACCAGTTTCAGCTAATATGTATTTTCATTGTTACAAATTGAACATAATTAAAGCATAGTGATTAATCACAAAAACAGTATGTAATTATATAGATGTTTTCCAGTGGTCTTAGGCGACCCGTGTGAAAGGGTCGTTCGACCCCCAAAGGGGTCGCGACCCACAGGTTGAGAACTGCTGGACGAAGGGTTTTTAAATTCTTGAGTATTATTAGTTTAGAACTTTTTAGTAGTTTTCTATAGTAAGGTTGGTCTACGTTAACTAGTCCTCATTACCTGAAACAGAAATCAGCCTTTTCTCTATTTGTACATTGTGGTGTTAATTTTATAAAGAACCTTTGTATTTTCATTTTAAAGATATGTAAAATTTTAATGAAACCATTAACTCACTTTTCTAATTCCCATTTTTTGTTTTGTCGTGAAGTTTTATTTTTTTATGTGTTCATTGGCTGTATATTCGTGAGTTCTTGTATTCATGTTTTTTCACTCTTTTTCTCTGCTGATTTTCATCTTGATTTATGAAAGCTTTTTTTCCGCTAAGGATTCTAACTCTGTCTCTTCTTGTAACCAATCCCCTAATCCCTCAATTTATAATTTGTCTTAAAATTTTAGAGTTATTCTTTTGGGAAGGGTTATAATAGATATAATGAGTCTTTAATACAGGTAACCTGCATAGCATGGCTATTTTTTCCTCAGTGTTATAAAATAAAATGTTAACCTCTATTTTCTTCTAGTACTTTTATTTTACCTATTTCAATATTTAATGTTGTGAACATGTGTTATGTTAATAAGTTTACTTATATATTGACTCAGAGTAATGTCTTTTGTCTGGGAAGAGTCTGCTGATGTTGAAACCTTTCTAAAATGTCCCAATTATTCGCTTGTCGTCCTAGCTGGCATATAATAGCAGAAAAAACAACCTTGTTAAGCAAATAATTTATAGATAGATTTGTGCTTAATTATGAAAAGGCAAAATTTTAAAATATGACAGACAAATGTAGTAATTGTTACAAGATTATATACTATTAGTATTTTCATATTTTTAAAAACTTGATTGGTGCATTTATTTCCTTTGTGTAATAATTCATTTTATTTGTTATTTTGGATAGACACTTGGCATTTCACCTGAGGAAAAATTTGTTATTACAACAACAAGTAGGAAAGAAATTACCAGTGATAATTTTGGTAAGCAATGCTAAGTTTATGCTTTTTATATTTAATATGCTATAGCACAGCAGTTGCCATCCGGTGGTCCTCGGACCCACTGGTGGTCCGTGAGATCCAAAAGGTTGGCGACTGCTGCTCTAGTATATTGTAGAACAATAGCTATTTGATTACATAGATAAGCGTCAAAAAAACTGTTGATGATTTTGGTTACTTTGTTGGTGTGGGGAGGAAACTGTCTATAAGTTCACAGTTTATACAGAGGTCATATTTTTCAAGCAAGGTAATAGAAAAATAGTTGACATCATTTATGGCTACAGAAGATGAGACCTTGCCCAACAGCTAGCCACAGGCCTTCCATGTGGGCCTTTAAGAAGCTAATTCTCCTAATTGGATTCGGTTCTTCCATTATCTTTTTTTACCCAATTGAATTCTAAGACCTGCCAGCTTTTTTGTTTGTTTGTTTTTTAATATATTTTTGTTGTTTCTAGAGAGGAAGGAAGAGGGAGAGAGAGACAGATGCATCAAGGATGAGAGAGAATCATCAATCATGCCCCACACTGGGACCGAGCACGTGTCCTGACCAGGAATTGAACCATAACCTCCTGGTTCATAGGTTATCGCTCAACCACTGAGCCACACTTGTTGGGCAAGACCTGCCAGGTTTTCATGCCTGATTTCCTTTTGAATTTAACCACTCTTCTCCTTTCATGTTGATAACACTCAAATGTAGTTCGCCATCTGATTTCCTGTGATAATTTAAGTTACTAAATTGAGGGTTTCAGATGCATGGAAGTATTTGGGCCTATTTAACTGATATTCTTAACAAAACACAACTGAATTTATAGATTGAGCCATTGTTTGGGGGTTTGCCTGTATCATCTTTAAAGATACTTCATAGAATAGATACAGTTTGGATTTTTAAAGTTATAAATTCATGTGTTTCTGATTCTAGCTTTGCACTTAAGATACTACCTTTTGATTACAGATGAAACTGTTAAAGATGGAGTTACTCTATACCTGCTACAGTCAGTCGACCAGTTACTACTAACGGCTACAAAAGAAAGAATTGAATTCCTACCTCACTATGACACACTGGTTAAAAGTGGCATGTATGAGTATTATGCAAGTGAAGGACAAAATCCTTTGCGTAAGTATTCCATTTATACTAATTTTGTTAAACTATTACTCTCCTTTATCCCCTTATTACCTGTTCCATTCCTTTACTTTAAAAAAGTATCTCGCCGAAACCGGTTTGGCTCAGTGGATGGAGCGTCGGCCTGCGGACTGAAAGGTCCCAGGTTCGATTCCGGTCAAGGGCATGTGCCTGGGTTGCGGGCACATCCCCAGTGGGAGATGTGCAGGAGGCAGCTGATCGATGTTTCTCTCTCATTGATGTTTCTAACTCTCTATCTCTCTCCCTTCCTCTCTGTAAAAAATGAATAAAATATATTTAAAAAAATAAAAATAAAAAAGTATCTCATTGTAATTTTTAGGAGACTGTGACAAGTCATTGTGAGCTTCCTTACTTCAAATTCTTCATTACAATATAATTCTTTTCCTACCTGTCATCTTACTTCAGAGTAAAGATACCTCTCCTTTAAAACTAACCTAGTTGTAGAATTCATTCCTTCTCAACTCATAAGAAATCTTGTTTCTACCCATTCTTCTATCTCAGTGGTTCCCAGGTGGTTCCCAGTGTGGGGCACATGCCCCACAGGGGGGGCAATTTGATTTTTAAGTGGGGCAATTTGAGAATGAGTTAACAGTGAATTTTTTTGGTTCTAGGGGCCTCTTGTACAGTATATAAATATATATATATTGTGACATATTTATGCATGTCAGTTCTCCATTATTAATGTTTTGAAACTTTATTTGCTATTTTTTCATATCATTTCATATTGTTGTTCTTTTTTTTTTTTTTTACCAATTTCTTAGTGATTTCTTCTCAGTACTTCAGCTATTCTTTTATTTTTCTCTTTCATGGATGCCATGTTCTCTGTAAGCTTGTTTAGACCAAGTTATTGGCCTTTTAGACTCCCACCATGTGAATAGGAATTCACTTTTTAAATAATAAGAATTATATATCACAGCGGGGGGCCTCAGGATTTTAGAGATGCTTAGGTGTGTCATGGCAAAAAAACCGTTGGGAACCACTGCTCTATATCATGTATAATCTTTGATTAATTCTTCCTCTTCTATAGACCTCTCAGTTGTTTTTACCTTGCAAATTTGTGTAGTTGAACTGCATGAGTAAATGGTTTGTCTTCTTAATTTCATTTCTTTATTATTTCCTTTCATCTTTATCACTCGCAAGTTTTTATCCTACCTTTGGGTTGTTTGCTAGTGATCTTAGTTAACTTACAGAATTTTTTCTTTTTGGACCCTTCTAATGTGTTTAATACTACTTAGATATTCATTATAAACTTCCTTATTGAAAATAGTTTTATTGTATAGGGATTATAGTTTGTAGGGAATTAGAAAACATAGATAAGCAAAAAGAACATAAAGAGTATCCATATCTTTTCTACCCATATATAAATACCATTAATACTTTGGTATGTATCGCTTCAGATCTTTTCATGTTGTTTGTTTTTTCTATTTTAGTGGTTTTATATGATTTATGCTATTTTAACCTACTTTTTTGTTTAAAATAAAATGAACATCTTTAACAATGTCAAATATATATTTGTTTTTAGTGGTTAAACGCTACTTAGATAATAATATACTGAACAGTGTTCTATTATTAGACATTTAGGTTATTTTAGTGTTTTTTAATTACAAATGACTGAATATTCTTATGACTAAATCATTGTGCACATCCTTACCTTAAGTGCAACTAATATTATCTCTGACATTGTTCCTTTCATACAAAAAATACTCTTATTTCTCCATTCTTAAAAACATCATAATCTTATCCCACCAGCCACTGCCCAGATTTTTGCTTCTGTTTACAGCAAAACCTCTCAAAAGAGTTGACTGTCTTCACTATTAACCGTACCTCTCCTCCCATTCTCTCCTATTCACTATCATGTACTTACTCTTTTAAGGTTATCAGTCACTAAATCCAGTGATCAAATTTTCAGCTCTGGTTTTACTCAAGGCATCATTTGACACTAGTAGCCCTGCACAAAATGCGTGCACCAGTAGCTTGCTACCGACCTCCTGTAGCTCCCCTCGCCCACCCTCCCTCATAGCTTGCTGCCCTGATGCCTCCTGTAGCTCTCCACTGCCTGCTTGTAGCTCGCTGCCCCACCTCCTGCTAATCCGTGATCCAGTTGTTACGAGGTTGGTCGTTACGTAACGATCATTCGCGTATTATATAGGATAGTTTATCACTTCTTCCTCCTTAATATAATTTTCACTTGGATTTTGAGAGATCACACTCTATTTTCTTTCTACCACTGACTGCCCTCTCTCTTTTCCTCTTTCGCTACCTTTTTTTGTTTTTTACTTTCTGAGGTATAATTGACACATCTCCCCACCTACTTAATGTTGAAATAAGTGCCTCAGGGCTTAGCCCTTAGTCTTGTTATCTCCTCTTATTTCTTCACTCAGTGATCCCATCCAATCTTGTGGCTCTAAAGAGTATACCATTTTTTATGTCAATGACCCTCAAATGGAGGTTGTGAGAAATGGTCATTTTTAGTTAAAAATTGATAATAATGATAGCCTTATTCCAAATTTTGTCTATCCAGCAATTGTCCATGTGGCATCTCCACTAGAATATCTAAGATGAGAACCCTCATCTGTTCACTAAATCCTATTACTACATAGTTTTCCTATTCAAAGTGATCATTGCTCTGTCCTTTTAGTTGCTAAAGTCAAAAATCAAATTGATTGTCCTTTGTTCATACATTTCATTCAATCTGTCAGAAAATCCTGTTGGCACTGTTTTCTGTATTTATCTAGAAATGACTATTTCTCATCATTTCCATACTAGGTCTGAGGCACTATCGTATTACCTTTGTTTTCACAGCTCCTCTTGCTTGTTCATTCCACTCTGGTGACAGCTTTATTCTCAGCTTAGGGCCCTTTGCTTGGTATACTCTTTCACCAGCTAGCCCCTGTCACATTCCCTCGCCCCATTCAAGTCTTGTTTACATGTTATCTTCCTAGCAAAACTTACTTTGATCACCCTATTTAAAATTGTAACTATGTTCCCTCTATGCCTTACTGTTCTTTATCTCTCTTCTCTGGTCTTTTTATTCTCCATAGCATATATTACCTTCTAAGATGTTAAATAATTTTCTTATTTATTATAATTATATTTGATTTCCCACCTTTCTTCACTAGAATGTTAACTCCACTAGAACTGGATTTTTGTCTGTGTTCAGTTCACAGCACAATGCCTGGCAAATAGTGGGTCCTTAAATTCTTTCTCGGGGGATCAATTTCTAAATGTACAATCATGGAGTCAATAGAAATATTCATTTCTATGACTTTTGATAGAGATTAATTACTATACAGATTGGTTTTAACCAGTTTTCATTCCTATCATCATTATATGAATAAGCAGGGAATCTCACTGTTTAAACTCTTGCTTTGATTTTTGTCACTTTATATTATACTAGAGGTCAATGAATGAAATTCGTGCAAGAGTAGGCCTTCTTTCCCCCAGCTGCCGTCACCAGCTTCCCTTTGGCACCCGGGACCTGGGCTTCCCTCTGGCCGCCAGCAGGCACCCAGGACCCAGGCTTCCCTCACAGCCCCAACTTCATCCAGAAGGTCGTCTGGAAGGTCGTTTGGCTGTCCAGTCTAATTAGCATATTATGCTTTTATTAATATAGATTCCTGGGTCTTTCTCTGATTTTCTTTCCTTTGCCTTTGGTGTTACCTCGGGTTATTCTTTATGGTGGACATCTCTTCAGGTCATGCTGATCTTTTCTTTTTATGCTTTTCTTTTAACTACTGATCCAAGCTTTAACTATTCTATGTCAGTAGAGCAAAAATATCTGTAGCTATCTTTATTCTCCCAATTAAGTGCGATATCTGCTCCAACTCCCTTTGGAGCACCTGTACTCATTGAACTTGATATAGTGGTAGAGCATTGCCTCCAAAACTGAATTTTTCTTTCCTCCCTCTAAATTTTCTCTTTATGGGAAATATGACCAATTGTACAGTGTTCTGGAGCAAACACCCAAAACTGTCTTGGATTTTTTTCTTTTTTTTCTTCTTTTATTTATAATCAAGTACTAAATTGTATTCATTTCTTTCTTCCAAATTACTCTTAACTTTCTTTTTTCTTCCCATTTCCTACAGTGTTCCTTTTCCATTTTTTTTTTTTATATTTTATTGAGTTTTTACAGAGAGGAAAGGAGAGAGATAGTTAGAAACATCAATGAGAGAGAAACATCGATCAGCTGCCTCCTGCACACTCCCCACTAGGGATGTGCCCGCAACCAAGGTACATGCCCTTGACCGGAATCGAACCTGGGACCTTTCAGTCCGCAGGCCGACGCTCTATCCACTGAGCCAAACCGGTTTCGGCATCATTTTTTAAAGTTATTACCCTTAACCAGATCCTTATACATATCTTACTTCTAGCTAATTTATAAACATAGCCGTCCTGTAAGTCATTTGCTACGCTCTTTTTTCTAATAAAGGAAATAAAAGTGAGAAATAATTTGAGTAGTGACCTTGAAGAAAGAATATTTGGAACAAAGCAGAGCCACTGATCATGGAACATCCAGTTGGTTGTATAGTAGGAAATCAATAGCAGTTCTGTGTCAGTTAACCAGACATGTTCTGCTGCTTGACAGGTTGCTATCATAAGATTTCTATATCTAAATTAGCTATTAATACACACATTTAGAGTCGCTTTATACTTGCCGCCATAACTCTGTATGTATTTACATTAGACTTCTTCATGATGTGATTACATACCACAGAGTACTTACTATTGGATTTTTATTGTAAAAGTCTTCTGTCCCTTATGTGTGTATGTCTGTCTTTAGATTATTAACTCTGTGAGGTCAGGAATCGTGGTTGGCTGACTCATGCAATATAATGCCATATAAGTACTGATTGATGACTGCTTTTTTATGCTGGTGGTGATTGGTGATGATGCCTTTAATTATGTATTGCATCATTAGGATCAGGATAATACTTGTAATTCTTGTTATTTTGGAAATAAAAGTGATGACTGAAGGTACTTCATAATTTCTTCTATGAAATTTTATATGAAGTATTTGGAAGGGAAAATTAAAGCAGTAATGTTTTCTCATTCTTTTCCAGCATTTGCTCTTGCAGAATTAATTGACAATTCATTGTCTGCTACTTCTCGTAACACTGGGATTAGAAAAATACAGATCAAATTGGTAAGAAAAGAATACTATTAAGCAATTCAGCTTTTCCTTTTATAAAAGTAGTACAAGTTAATTGGGGAAAAAGTAAAAAATAAAGAAATAATTATCTGATATCTCTTCATCTAATGTTAAAATTTTCACATGCCCTTTTTTCTGTGCATATGTGTGATTATAGTATACATTTTGTTGTTTGTGATCTTCTTTACTTCAACAGTAAGAATATTGCCATATCATGAATATTATGCAATATAATATACCATTGCTGCAGGTTAGTTTATTGGCTATGATATAAAATATATTATAGTATAAAATCTATATAAAAGCCTAATATGCAAAGTGTCCCCTCGGGAGTTCGACTGGGAGTTCATTCGCTCGCTATGATGTGCGCTGACCACCAGGGGGTGCATGGAATGAAGGAAGGCCCTGGTTGGCGGCCTGCAGCCGGGGAAGGGAGGCCCTGTCCGGCAGCCAGCAGCCCCTAGGAACCCTATCCGTGCACGAATTTTATGCACTGGGCCTCTAGTATAATATAATATAAATCAGCCTACTATTATTGCATATTTAGGTTTTTTTCTGTGTTTTAGCCATTGTAAGCAATGCTGAGAGGATAAACATCCTTATAAGTCTTTGTATGCATCTCTGATTAATTCATCAAGGTAAATATAAGAAATGAAATTTCTGGATTAAAGGACATGAAGACTTCTAAGACTTTTGATTTATACAGCTGAAGTACCCTTAAGAAAGTTGTATTAATTTATAATTCCACCAGAAATGTATGAGTGAGCCCATTGAATCATTTTCCTATATTTAACTTTTCATGTTTTTAATATTGATTTGACTTTTTCTGTCTTTTTGAACTTGTTTTACTTTATAGCATTTTGATGAAACACAAGGAAAACCTGCTGTTGCAGTGATAGATAATGGAAGAGGAATGACCTCTAAACAGCTTAATAACTGGGCTGTGTATAGGCTGTCCAAGTTTACAAGGCAAGGAGATTTTGAAAGGTTAGAAAACATTACTCACTTTTTTATGGGCAGCTGGGTATTTTAATAAGGATAAGAACTCATATTTCTTTAGTTATACATGATACATTGGAGGTTTTGATGTTAACATTTATTTAGATTTTTATATTACAGAATTTTTATGATTAAAACTTAGTTTAGAAATTGTCAAAACTACACAAATCATATTGTGCCTGTTCATTGAACAATTGTTTTTGCATTTTCTGAAGTATGTAGGAGTTATGTTGATATGTTGAGTACTTTGAGGCATTTCTCTTTTTTGTTACTAAGTTTGATGGAAGTTGTGTAGCCTCTGGAGGAGTAGAATGGTTTTAAAATAGGCATTAGAAATCACTAATACCACTTAAAAATGTCTAAATGTCTAACGTACGTATTTCTGTTGAGCTCTATTACTCTACTTTTGGGGTTCTGCATTACGAAACATTTACAACTGCTAGGAAATACAATCTAGCCAGGAGTTTACATCAGAATGTGTTTGTAAAAAATATCCTGAATAAAATGTTGTAGAGGAAACAAAATATACTAGAAACTCTCAGGAATATAATGATTCAGGTCTTTGGGATATTAACTCAATTCTAGTAAGCAATAATACACAAGTCTTTTGATATTTAAGCTATGTTATGTACTTTAGGAAACATACTTGGGAAGATCTATTGGCATTCTTATTAAGTAGTTAGTAGTTGTTCATGTCCTGTTTTGGTATTTCTTATGTAAAGGAAAGTCACCCAAATTTAAGGATTAATCTTAATAACGTGAGGGCGTCTTACTCTTAGAGGTGCTTGCAGCATTCATTGCTCCTGCATGGGTGGGCAGGACACGGAGAACCAGGGACTTCTCTGGTTCAGGGAAGCCATTGCTTTTTGCTCCCCCCTGGTGATTCCCAGACACCCTGCCCCACCAATTTACAACCCCATCCAAGCTGTACTCATCGACTTTTGCATATGAATGGCCTGTCCTTTTGCCTAAAACAAACTGCAGCTAGGTCAGAGAGCCCCAGAGATTCCAAAAGAAGGCCCACTACCTGGCAGCAGCAGCGGCCTTGTTTCACAGCTGGGCCTCGTCTGGGACTTCCAAACCCCATACAAAGAGGAGGAATCTGCAGATGTCTCTGTAGCCCTGTAGGGCAGCCCCAGACAGTGCCTGACCTTGCACCTCCTTAATGGATTACAACTCTTCACATCCATAAGAGACACACTCAAGGAGCAGACTTAGCACCAAAGCCCTACTGAAGCAAGTCCTACCCCATAAGGGTGTTTCACACATGAAAGAAATGGATGAAAACAAAATACTAGATATAGAGTTCAAAACCACGGTTATAAGATTACTCAAAAATCTTCTAGAAACCTTGGAGAAATTTGGTGAGAATTTTAAGGAGTATGAAAAAAGACCAGCCAGAAATTAAACACACACTGACTGAAATAAAGAATAATATACAAGGATTCAACAATAGACTAGAGGATCCTAAGAATCAAATCAATGATTTGAAATATGAAGAAGCAAAAAACACCCAACCGGAGAACAAAAAAGAAATAAATTTGCTTCTAAGTGAAAATGGTAATTCTAGAACAAAAAG